GTTGTTGTTTACAGACCTGCATGTGCTGCGTTGCTGGTTGGTTGTGATCGTCAGTGTACGGAGGGTTCCACAGCTGGATCTTCTCCTGCTTCAGAAGGTTCTTCAGCTTTGCCTCAGTGTTCTGCTCAGCCATCCCACCTGAAAACAAGAAACAACAAGTAAACAAAGATTAAACAAGGAGGAGGAGTTTAGGCTGAGGTGGAGCTTTAAAGGAAACTCAAACCTTAAACAAGTTGATGATCCACGGTTCATATGCTGTTTTTAATGTTATAAAACTAATGAGACTTTGTTCACATATTAGCTTTCACATTTGAAAACATTAAATTTTAAAAACAAATATGTTTTGTCAGTAGTTGAAAAAGGAATCTTGTGAAAAAGTTTTATTTTAGAAATAGAAACATTTTTATATTGAACTACAACAACTAATAAATTGATATTTAGCAGATTTTATCTGATCAGTAAAATAAAATAACAAATACAGTTTTTATTAAGAACAATATTTTTATTTGATTTAAAATAAAAACAGAAATTTTATGAAATGTTTAACTCTATATTTATTTAATTTATCAGTATAATTATTCCATGAAAATGTATTGAACGAGCTACAGGTGCACCATGGAGAGTCTGCTGACATCACAGGTGGTACAGGAACTGCACCAGTCAGAGGTGGTGCAAACAGCAGAGGACATCACTGGTAGCAGTCTCCACACCATCCAGGACATCCACCACAGCTGATGTCTGTGTACAGCAGCATCATTAAGGACCACACCCACCCAGCACAAGGCCTCTTCCATCTACTGCCCTCAGGCAGACGATACAGGAGCCTGTCATCACGTACACACAGACTAAAGGACGGTTATTATCTACAACCTGTCAGAGTACTGAGCTCTACATAAATAACACTTTGATAAATAACTTTGCTTGGCCTTGTAGCTGTTTTAAGTGCTCTATAAATAAAATGGTATTTTATGGTACAATCTGTCAGATTACTGAACTACTGATAAATAATGCTGAACAACTGACAGTAACACCAAGACACATCTGTGACAACTAATATGACTAATATTAGCTTGTGACATCTTGTCACAAGCAAGAAACATAAAAGCTGACAGTGACAACTAGAATGTTCATTGTTTACTGCTGCTGCATTATGTGGCTGTATCATGTGTGATACAGTGT